CCGGGGCTCAGCTCGCCCTGGGAGGGGCTAGGACTGCGCCCTCCATCTTGCCCTGGGTCCTCCATTTTGGGGGAAGCCACCATGTGCTCAGGAGAGTGCCTTCTTCCCGGAAGCCCAGGCCCCTGCTGGCCACGCCTGGGATTTCTTTGAACTAACCAATGACAATCAAGGGACATGCGTGCCATAGAGATGACCACATCCTGTGTAACAAGACCCAACTCGCGCCTGGCCAATTGGCGGGTCCCACAGTCCCCTCCCCTGCCCTCACTATAAAACCCACAATCCCATCAGGCCTTGCTCTCTCTCGGCCACTGGGGCTTACCGTTGCATCGGTGAGTGTGGCAGGGGGGCCAAACCTAGGTTTGAAATAAATGACTCTTTGCTTTTGCATCGGACTCGCTGGCTCCCTGGTGGGCTCTTGGGAACCTTGAAATCTGGGCACAACAATCCCAAGGTAGGTGCCCTGTGTTTCTTTCTCTTAGCAATGGTCTCAGAGCGGCCAGTTCGACTCTAAGCCACCCTCTGTCCCAAGAACCTTCGATTCACAAGACTGTTGGGAGGCTGAGTGTAAGTCACCTACGTCAGCTCAGAGATGACTTGTGATTGGTCAGGTCACCTGGCTCCTGGGTCCTCAGGCAGACCCAGCCCCTGAGAGGCCGAGAGGCTAAATTAATTTGTCCCCGTTAGAATTCTGAGTTTGTCCCCATTAGAAATGACCTAAGACACTCTCATATCCATCCAAAGAAAGTCTTCATTTCCTCATTTGTTCACCATTGGACAAATTGATTGCGAGCTACTCCTGGCTGGATATTGAACTCATAGCTGGGGAGGCGAAGTTCAACCAAGAGTTCCGACCTTGAAGGAGATTATTATTAAATGTGGGAGAAAGGCACATAAACAAATAATTATCCTGCATTAAAGTGCAAGGGATGATACCAGGGGCCACAGGGGAGATACTTAAGGCAACCACAACGCTTGGTAATGACGGTGTGTATCAGACAGGAAGCAAGCTGACCACCATGGACTGTGCTCATGGAAAGGAAACCAAGCAGGAAAGTGTGGGGTGGGGTGGTCAGTGGAGCCGTGTGGTTTGTGGCTCTCCACAGGCTGTGTGAGTAGAGTGCCTTCGGAATGAACACTCTCGTGTCCCATTTCTGCTCACAAAGCAATCAGGAGCAAATATAGAACATGCGGTCACAGCAGAACACATTACCACCAGGAGTCTGTGCCCAGAATGGCCTACGGTTCTCGGCAGGTAGCAACGGCACCACCAAGATATTGACATTTTCCTTAGCCAATGGGATGACAGAATCATCACCTCCTCCCTCATTCCCCGACGGCAGGTGCCGCCACGTGTCTCTTCGTGGATGAAAGGTTTAGTAACAAATGCAAGAGCCCCAGCGTCATGAGCCCCAGCCGAGGAGGCCTGTGCGTCTCCCCAGGACACACTCTCTCCAAGAGCCTCATAGCCGAGGCGAGGCTCCGCGGGCCGCCGTGGTCTCTGTTCTGGTGGCTGGCTTCCTGCAATCCTTCAAAGGCAAAACCACCCTCGGTGCCAGGTCACGCCAGCACAGGCCCGGGACGGATCTGGCCCGAAAGCCAAGTTTCCCCATCATTTCTCTTGGCCCCGTGGAACCGCACCTCTTGCCACGTGCTTCGTTTTTAAACCGGGGAGACGGAGGAAGTAGGGTCTTCGCTGTGCTACTCTGAGAGCGGGAGACGGTTCCAGATCTGGGCTGGTGCGCGCTGGAACAGAACCCGGGCTTTCCCAGCGCGGCCTCACCTCCCGGGAGGCTGTCTCACTTCGCTGATGGAACATGTGCTCTTCATGCCCGTCCACGTTCATGTGTCTCACAGCCCGAGGAGCGGAGGGAGGCGAGCTCACCTCCCATGTCCCAGCCACACCGCGTGCTGCCTGCCTCGCAGAGCGGCGTCTGCTCTGTTCCGCCCAGATGTGCAAGCGCCATTCCTCCCCCACGGGGCCACTGAAGCACCGCCACGGAGTCTCTAACTTCACATAATCACAGGCTGTTCTTCCTTAACAGCTAGAAACGTAATGGGGGGGCCGTCTGCCAAACTCTATTAATCTTTCCTTTAAGTCAGAGCTACCAACACTTCATTTCCCTCTTAAGTAGGTTTCTATCAAGTACCACTTATTCTTCGATGAGACTTAAGGAAGTGTTTAAGGCGCCCTGTCTGCTGTGGACGGTGGGAGCTGCCCTGCCCCATCCTCCACGCGCCCCATCCTCCACGCGCTGCCCACCTCATCGAAGTCCTCGCCGAACCCAGTGCGCTGAGAAAATGCCTCGGAGATTTCTTGGGCGACGTCCTGCTGCTCTGTGATTTCTTGCATCAAATCGTCTATTTTGTTCAAATCCCTGGGAAAGTATATTTTGTGGGAACATTTTAGAATCTCACTTTAACATGATGCGTATAGTTAGATATACTCCCATATGTAAAAAAAATGAGTCAAGTTAATATAAACTCCTAGTTATTCCCATAGGATAACAAAAATGATTTTATGTATCAACTTTAAAAATAATTTGCATTTCAAAAAAATAACCCCATATAAGCACAGATATTTTAAATATTAAATGAACAGCCATCACATTTGGGAGTCACGAACGAGCAAATTATCTTATAATTTACAATATTTGCAGACCCATGTTGAAATTTTGTCTGGTAGGGCATATGTAAACTTTAAATATATGCTGCTCTGTGTCAACTCTGCAGGAAATGGTGCGGGGACCAGGCCCACATGACTGAGACCGGCAGCTCTCAGCAGCACCACCTCCTAGCAGCCCTCAGGTCGAGCTCTGAGACAAGAGGGCCGCTTGTCAGACACCTGGCAGCTCTGCCATCCTGACCCCGGAGGGCAGCACAGGCCTGGCTGCCCTGGGGAGTCACAGGAGGGCAGCGCAGGCTGGGAAGCCCTCAGCAGAACCCACCCCTGCAGCCCAGGGTCCCCCCTGAGCCCTGGTCCCAACCACCGACCTGAGCGGCCAGGGTCCCAGTGCCAGGCTCCGACTGCGCCTCTAGGACCTGTCTCCGAGTCGCCCCTCCAGCTCTGAAGCGAGGCCGAACTGACTGGATACCAGGAAAGTGGGCTCCTCACTGGGATTTTGATTCCCAGGGGGATAAACCTTTTGACAGTTTCTCTGACTCCCCACGTGGAAAATGCTGAGTATTCTGACATATTTCCACGTAGTAAGTAAAAAGAACGCTATTACCGTTCTGCTGCCGCCCCTTATTCCCAATTCTTTTTGTAACAAATATGTAAGGACTTCATGTTTTAAAGGCGTGTGGGAGGGGCGGTGCAGGTTCGAGCACAGGGGTGAGGCTGCCGAGCCCCCTGCGCTGCGGTGCACGTTGGCGCCGGTTAGCAGCAGCCGCAGGTTCGGACCGGCAGCCAGTGGGATGGCCTTGCTGAAGCCGTCAAATCGATGGCCCCCTGGGCACGGCTGCATCGCCCAGTGCTCCCTGCTCCCACATGTGGTGGCTCAGACCTCACGGTCACGTCTACTCTCAGAAAAGGGTCAGGTCCCTGGTACTGACTTCCCAGTGTGACCTACAGCAAACTGTCGCTGGCCCCACCACCACACTGAATGTCGATTACTGATGGCTTCTTTGCACCAGGGACTAAGTGCATGACATCTGGTATCTTATTGACTCTCACAATAACCATAAGTAGTAGTATTGTCCCCAATTTACAGTCAAGGAAGCGGAATACAGGGGAGGCGAAGTAACTTGCCCCGGGACAGTCAGCAGGGGAACTGGGACCCTCGCTCCGAAAGTCTGAGCCCCAAACCCAGGCCCATAGCTATGACTCTCATAGGTCGGTTAGTGTCAGTCACCTGGTGAACCTGCTCAGTACAGAAGGCCCGCTGCCCGCTTCCAGGAGCCTGGGCACCTGCGTTCTCGTCAGCCGCTTTCCGGGAGATCTGGAATGCCACCAGGTGACAACCACTGTCCTGTATGGAACAGCTCAAGATGCTGACGTGTAGGCCTCTGTGATTTATCTGATGAGGAGTTACAGGCGGAGTGTCAGGCAATAGTGAGGCGACTGGGAAATGCAATGGACAGAATGAAGGTCCTTCGTGTTTTCATGGAGTTTTGTTTTGTTTTGTTTTTTGTTTTCTACCACTGGAACTTCTAGTCTTTCTCTGAAGGACCATTCCATTCTGACGTGTCAAAGAGCCTCAACAGGACAGGCCATTCCTGCCGAATTCATCATCTGGCTCTCCCGACACTGGGGGCGCGTAGGACGTGGAGGGAGGGGCACTCACATGTTCTCATGGGCCGCTCTCATGGCCTTGGCCGCCAGGCCCATGCTCCTCAGCACCTCGGTGTTGGTGTGCGCGTTCTCCAGGGCCTCTCGCTGGAACTCGACGGTGGACAGGGTGCCATCGATCTGCGAGAGCTGCTTCTCCAACCTCTTCTTTCTCTTTAGTGCCTGCAACGCAGCTAAACAAGGAAGAAGCCACGTTTATAATGAGAGAACCCAGTCACTTACTCCACAGACATTCGCTCGGCACCAACTGGGGACTGGGCATTGTTGGCACCTACAGACAGGAGACAACCAGGAGTGGAGAGACTCAGGGGTGCAAGTACCCCTCCTTCGCCCGCACCAAGCACCACCCCTCAAACATTTTCAATGTTATTCTTTTCTTCCCAAGACAGGCAAATGTCAGAGGGTGAAAAGTCCATTTTCACATTCCATAAAATAGACCACAGACACAGATTAAAAAAACAAAGAATGGGCATAAAAATATGAATAGAAATCATGCAATCTTATAGAATAAAAGGCTGATATGCAAATTGCCCCCTCAACCAGGAGTTCAACAGGGAGTTCAACCAGGGGGTAGGATTGGCTAGCCAACCGCCCGCAGCCCTCCCCCCAGCCGGCCCAGCCTGATTGGTCTGGATCAGGGTGGGCCAGCTGGACACCACCCATGCACAAATTCGTGCAAGAGTCCTCTAGTAAAGAAATAAAATTTTAGAGGAAGAAAGAACTTTAACGGCTATTTATTCTAGCTTTGCTTCCTTGTTTCAAAGACAAGTTCATGGAGATCTGAAGAAGTTACATGGCTTTCTTGAAGGTAAACAGTGAGTGGTTGTCCCATACCCAGGATGCTGAGCTGCCTGTCTTGGTCTGAAATGGTTATGGTTATGAGATGACCAGTAAGGTTACAAGGAACTATGAGCCCCATGAAATCCTAGAGTCCCACTCGAGGATTAGCTGGCATACTGGTGAGAGAAAAGAGTGTTGCCTTCAGACAAAGAATATCTACATACCCTGCCATTAGCATTTTAACAAATAACCTTATCAGCTCCATTCAGAAATCACAAAGCTAAGAGTTCTTTTGACTATGCAACTTGGAAGGCACCCAAAAACAGGCCCTAAAATGTGAGTTGTGATAAGACATTTGGAAGGAGTACAGAAGGAGTGC